AACTAAAGATGCTTCAGTTTGATTCAAGGATATCTTCCATCTCCTTTCTAGGGTTCAAGGCACCTTCTTAAAACTGTTTCCAATTTACTTGCCTAAGTGCATTTGGCCACCCGGGTTATTGAGCCAGCAAACTTCATTTTACATAGAAATTCAAGTCTGCTTTGTAATGGGATATGAAAACGGTTGCCTCCACTCAGCAGCCACCGTGACTGCTGACAGTTCTGAGACTGGAAAGTCTCGAGTGCTTGTGCAGTGCTTGTGCAGTGCTTGTGCAGTGCTTGTGCAGTGCTTGTGCCGTGCTTTTCAACTACACACACAGCTGAAAATCGGACCCCAAGGACAAGACCAGCAGGAGACCTTTTCACAAACTTACTTGTGAATTCTTAGGTTGAGTAAAACATGTAGAGAAGACAGGTGGACGTTTGAGCCAATATAACTTGTAAGCCTGTGTTATATTTATTTGACTACTCTAAAGAACATGTAAGAATTAAAGCTGTATTAAAATAATAAATTCTGCAATAACCCACACTTCTCTTAAGTCTTTTTAGCATGATAGTTGTGTGTGCACACATACAGGTACGTGCATTCACTTGGAAGAAATACCTGGCCCATTGGTACACTGGGAACCAACCAGAATCTGTCTTTTCAGAATGCTAAATAAGGTATTTAGAGATGTGGTTCAGATGTTGCCAAGGAGGAGGGGCGCAGTGTCCAGCAGGGGACAAGCAGATGTTTCCAGAGACAGACAGTGAGCCAACAGAGAGAAGCAGAGACAGAAGACCTCGTGGCTCTAGAGATTGAGATATCGAAACAGGGCAGAAGACCGAATGCAGAGGCATGTTCCCTGCACGGCACCACCACAACCCTTTGAGTTGCTCTGTAATGAAACTGCTTTCTACCTGTGTCAAAGGGAACTTTTTCTTTAAAACCACATGAGACCCGACCAGAATCTACACACCTTCTCCCATGAGCACGACTAAGCTTGTCACATGCTAGTCTTTGGCACTAACAGTACCTTGGGCAGCTCCTGCCAGGAAACATGGAGAATCCCCTCCGAATTCTGCATTTCCTATTTCAATGGCCTCCTACCTAAGAGCATGTGGAAAGCCTTCCTTCTGGGTGGTGGGTGACCTGTCTCTCTTGCTGACCTCTGTGTCCTGGCTGAGCCTGCAGACAGGTTTCCACCTGTCTAATTGAGTGGTAGCATTCAAGGAGGAAGATCATTCTAGATTAAACTCACTTCTTGGATTGCTTTCAGCTAAAATGCAAACAGGTCTGTTGGCATGCTCAGGAGAATAGTTATATATCTTTGTTGATCTTTGGCAGTTCTAAATACTGGAATAGGCCAGATGGGTGAGGTGCCCAGAACCTCCAGACTCAGGATGGACTGAAGATATAATACATGACTTTTTCTTAATCACAATATAAAATTCCAACCACACTGGAAGGGAGGGAGGGAGAGACCGAGGGAGGGAGAGAGAGAGAAAGAAGAGAGAGAGAAAGATGGGAGAAAGAGAAGAGAGGAGACGAGAGAGAGAGAGAGAGAGAGAGAGAGAGAGAGAGAGAGAGAGAGAGAGAGAGAGAGAGAGTGTGAGTTGGGGACAGGGCACAGACTAAACTGCTAAAATAAACATCAGCTGCTTATAATTTTCTTCAATAACAATTATTTGCTACTTGTGCATTACTTGGCCATGTGGCCAACACTTAGAGCCATGCATCCAGTAGCAAGCATCCAGGGCAGTGAGACGTTCTAGGACATGCAACAGAATATCCTGCTGTAGAATTTTCCCCATCCTGAGAATGAGGGAAATGACATCACTATTTGGTTTGTGTTGTGGCACTCAACAGGCCAGCTCCAAAGGTAGCAGAGGCTCCAAAGCAGCTGCTGGTCCTGGCGGAGATGAACCAACTTTACAAGATGCCCAGAACCTCACCCTGCAGACTTCACTTCCTACCCCAAGGCCCCGAGCGCTGCCCGTTAGGTCCACAGAAGCCCCATGCTCCTGAAGACATTAAGGAGGACTGGAAACTAGTTCTCACCAATACAGGAGCTGAAAATAGAGGTGAGTAAAGCATGGGCCATGGTTGTGCAAAGTCGCAGGATCGGGTGTTTTCGTGTCCACAATCCCAAATCGTTAGCGCCTCCACATTTATGTGAGAAATAGCCCTGGATAGACAGCTGGGGAGGCAAATGTGAACAGTGGGTTTGAGTTAAGTGAAGAGGAGGAAGGGGTTTCTCACAAAGGGAGAGCATGAATCATAACACGGATGAAATAACTGCCTTAAACAGTGAACATTTGCAGGCTAAGTGGAAAGTTCCAGAAGATTGACTAAACAGATACATGAACAGTGAAAGGAAGACAAACATTATGTGGCCATACAGTCTTCTAAGAGCAGACTGACTCCAAGAACCACACAGTCACAATAAAGACCATCTTTCTAACAATTATTAGGTTGGATCTTAATTCCTCAACGTTTCCTGTAGATATTTTTTATTCATTGTCACACAAAATTCAAACATTATATAAACCTATCATAAGGGGCAACTCCTTTAATCTCATCTAGAAAAGATAATTCATTGGATGCAACTTTCCCAGGGGTTCACACCGTGCATAGACAAGAAATCATATATAAGTGAGATGACAATTAGGTATTATATGTGTCCATTCATTTGTGTTCACTTACATATTTTTATATTTTACAGTGTAGGTCATCAGACTCACCTACTATGTGAAAGGAACAGATCCTCCCCCCACTGGGCCAACAGTGTCTGAACTGAAGGATTAATAGTTCCCAGCAGAGAAGGGAAGACAGAGTAACAACACTGGATTTTTTTTTCCTATATAACTTGTTAACTCCCTGACAGATTTTTGGATGGTCAAATGTTCTCCTCAAAGAAAATCAATTACAAACACCAACTCAATGCATAAAATAATCTAAGGTAAACTTTCTAGGCTGATGCCCCAGGGAACTTCCTATCCCAGCTCCTCTTAGTCATTACTTCTGACCACTGATCTACCAAAAACCCAGTTTTAAGACCACAGCAGCAGATTCTTCTTTCCTGACTAATAGGAAATATCTTTAATTAGCAACCATATTCCATATCTGCTGCTGACACTTCTAGGCACAAACTCACAGCAATGAGAGCTAAAAGGTATCACAGAAGCACCAAATGCTGATCATCAAAGCTTCCATGTACAGTCAGAGTCCACCCACTGGCAGCAGACACCTAGGACCTCTTCTGTGCCCATTCCTGAGGTATTCATTTTATTATTTTCTTAAAGGGCCCCTGAATCAGCCTGTTGTCTCTCTGATCATCTTTGAGGAGAAATTTCTCACAGTGGTTGTAATAACATGTACAAGACCTGTGCAAGCCCAAGTCAGACCAAATCCCAGCCTGGAGAGGGGAGCCGAGCACAAAGCCCCACCCCTGGCTGAAAAGCTATTAGCAATTGTTAACTGCTGGAAAAGGAAGAGCCAGTGTTCTCTCAGAGTGTAGCCCTTGATAAGTCAACCACACCCCAGTGGAAAGCCACACAGCCAAGAATCTTTGTGCACAAATTGGCCTTGATGAGAAAAAGAAAGGACACAAAGTCTGGTGGGAAGGGACAGTTGGTGGATCTGGGGAGAGTTGGGGCAGGGAGGGTGACTATGATCAAACATGTACATGTACAAACTTTTTATGGTTTTTTTGTTTTGTTTTGTTTTTGAGACAGGGTTTCTTTGTATAGCCTTGGTTGTCCTGGAATTAGCTCTATAAACCAGGCTGGCCTCAAACTCAAGAGAGATCCATCTGCTCTGCCTCCCGGATGTTGAGATTAAGGGTGTGTGCCACCACCACCTGGCTTAAAATTCTTAAAGAACTATTGAAAATACTTTATTAAAAATTATAAAACAGGACACAGTAGGTTATGGGCTGAATAAATAATTTACTTATCACTAATTAAAATAGTCCTTATGGATTCTCTAAAACTAGAGCAGTGTTTTATTAAATATCTGGCCACCTCGAATGAGTTACAACCTCCAGTCTCTTCACATATTTGTTTGTTAAAGAGTTCATAAGAATCCTCAGACAGGAATAGAGCTGTTCTGTCCTGCTGTAGATTGTAATAGTCTTATTTGTGGATGCTGCTAATTCTACCTAAAAATATTAGCCAAGACCTTAAATCCCTCCTATGAAAAGATTTCACCACTGATATTGCCTAACACTTACTTCCCAAGAAATGTCATCACTCCTTTGCTGGCTAATTTTACATCAACTGGACATATGTACTCTAGAGTTGTCTGAAGGGAGGGAAGTTCAATTGAAAAAATGCCTCCATGAGATCCAGCTGTAAGGTATTTTCACAATTAGTGATCAGTAGGGGAGGGCCCAGCTCATAGTAGGTAGTGCCATCCCTGGGCTGGGTGGTCCTGAGTTCTCTAAGAAAGCAAGATGAACAAGCCATGGGGAGCAAGCCAGTAAGCAGCACCCCTCCATGGCCTCTGCATCAGCTCCTGCTTCCAGGTTCCTGCCCTGCTTGAGTTCCTGTCCTGGTTTCTTTCAATGATGGACTACACAAAGTGGAAGTGTAAGCCCAATAAACTCTTTCCTCCCCAGCTTGCTTTTTGGACATGGTGTTTTATTGCAGCAACAGTAATCCTAAGACAACTCCGTTCCTCTACCTTCCCACTTAAAAAAAAATTCTTGGTGTACCCAGCTCCCTCTGTAAAGCCTCATCAGGTATTAGGTATTGAGAATCACAGGAGAAGCTAGAAGGATAGTTTGGTCAATAAAGTGCTTGCTACACAAGCATTCAGACCCAAGTTCAATCCCAGAACCTACATAAAGAGAAGACCATGGTGGTGTGTGCTTCTAACCCAGTGCTAGAGAGGCAGAGATAGGCAGATTCCTTGGGTTCTTGCACACACATATTCTTGTGTATCCACACATGTGGGTGAACACACACAACCACAAAAGGTTGTTTTTTTTTTAAATGAAATGAGAAGTTAAAACAAACTGAGGTTTAAAAGAACAAAGCTTTATAAGACGACTACAGTATTACCACAAATCACTTTGTAAATGGTTTTGTGGTGTGTGAATGAGGGGTGAGAGGACTGGGCGAGGAGGAAGTCTCCTCGTTCTCAATCACCTTGGCGATGTTACACGTTTTCATTCATTCACTGTCTTTATTTCACGGAACATTTCTTGCTTGTAGACATCTTCACATTCACGAACTAATATGCCAACGAATAGGGAAATGTGGGAGGAGGGTGGAGAAGCAGAAAACTGGGTTCCCATTGTTCTTACAACTCCAGCTGAGATCCACCCTGTGCTGCCACCCATGCAGATCGCTCACGATGCACGGATTTCAGGGAACAATGCCTTGCAGGTCACAGATGACCCTTCTACTTGTCACTTTCTAGGACTGATGCTCGCCTAGGCTTTGCCTGGAATCACCTGAAAGTGAAATTATCAATGAGAGGCAGACGTACAGCTGCCCAGTGTACCCCAGGTTCTGTTAGTTTTCACACATTTCATGCAAAGGCATGGAAACCTTTCTTACTGTTATTTTTAAGTTATTTCCATGTCCTACTTACAGAATTTTTTAAGAATGGCTATATCAACTTTCAAGGTCTGAATTCACATACAAAAACAAAACAAAACAAAAACAAACAAACAAAAAAAAAACCCCACACAACTAGAAATCAGTCCCTCTCAAGACAAAAGTCATCCCCCATTTTATCTGGTCCTAATGCTCACATCCCAAGTTGTTTGGTAGAAAGAAGAGGTCCATATTTTCTGTACAATGTTCAGCTTAGTTCTGCTGTGACAGCCTGTGTCTTCTTAAAGCTGCTCACAAGGATGATGCTCCACAGTCCCCTGACCCACTCTGCCAATGACAGGTTACTGCACAGGCAGTGACAATGGCCAGGGACAGTGGATGAGGTGGGCAGGAAGATCAATCCAGATGTGACTGAAAGCAAAGACCTCCTGAAAGGAGCCAGTTTAGAGCCAGTTGGACCATCTTCTGATCTACCGATCCATCCATGCGGCTAGCAACAAAATCAAGCCCAGTCCACATTTTCACTTGGTAAGGTTTCAAGGAAATCACTAATGACATAAACCTTCAATGTCTCCTTCTCTGGAGCATGAGAACTAAGAAAATGGCTAAATACAAGAGCCAAGGTTGGTCTTGAAGACAGGCAGAACCTGATGGCTCAGCCAGCACAAATACAAACAGTGCCCACTGTGGGGAGCCCAACCCTGCCCTGAACCCCTTGTTGGGCATATTTCTCCCTCCCTGGCTGCAGGCTGCAGCCTCTCAGGAGGGGGTTCATGAAGTCTAGGCAGGTCCTGCAGGCAGGCACCTCACACCTCTGCTCACACATATGAAAAAGGGTGAACTAGATGCCTGCTGTTGGGGCATCCTCTGCCCCCTCACATGGAGGCTGGTTCTCAGGCAGGGTATGGATTCTCTCCATGGAGAGAGACTTATGAACTAAACCCCTCCTTCACTGCCACTACCTGGGACTGTGTGTCCTTACACATTACATGACAAACCTCCTTCACCAGCTGTCTCCTCTCCATGGGACAATTCAGTTTGGGTCATCTCTCCTGAGGTTTGATTCTCTTCTCTCCTTTTATTCTGGAAGGGGCACTCCTTACAAAGTTCCCTGCTTCCCTAGCCTGCTCCCCTGCCAGCAACCCTGTCTAGAACACTAGAGAATCTGCTGGGTTCGTTGTGCCCCAAAGCAAAAGTCTTAGGCCCTTTGCTACACCTAGCATGCCAAAGACAAGGCCCCTAGGGGGCTCTTCACAGCCTTAACTTACCAAAGTGCTGCTAGAAAGTGTGACGCCACCTACTCTGTCATTTCCCCAGTGCCGCGACAGGATGGGAGAGAGTGTCCCGTCTAGCCAATGGAACAGTAATGAGATAAAGCAAATTATAAATCACACTGGAAGTGAACACAAAGCCCCAGTTCTTGCGTACACAATGTTATGTAAACAGTTCTATACAACGGGGGTGGGGGGGGTTGTCTGTCTGTTTTTAGCCATTCGACTCCCTCCTCGGGATCATGGTGGATTCTACAGCCTCTTGTTCTCCAGCAAGATGGGTAAAATGACATCAGCTTCGCTTTATCATCTGTCACTGCTCCCTGGTCCTGTCACTGAGGTATTCATTGATCGAGCCCCACTCTGAGGCAAGTGTAGAGAGGGAGAGAGCCAAGGGTAAAGTGTGGCCATTTCCAATGGCAAATAGGACCTTCGCTGGACTGAAAGGCCTTCTTCCCCACTTCACTGAGATGCGGGATGGAGAGGAACCTGTACGTCCTTGACACGCGTCCACCGAGCACAACTTACACTAACTAGGAGGGGGCATCAAGGTTTGCTGGGGCCTGAGCCCACACAAAGGAGAGAGCGTTTACCCAGGCCAAGCAGAGCGACCCCCAGAAACAGACCACGAGCCCCAAGGGGAAGTGGTATATGACTTCAAAAGCCAGGCCTTAAACCCAGCACTTAAAACCATCCCGGGGGTCGGGAAGGCATTCTGTAGGCGCACATGTGAGCGGAAGGTTTGCGATCGGGGAAGTCAAAGACGTGCCTGGCCTCACACTGGTGGTGGGAGTGTTTCTGGCTTCTTCAAGGCTCTGCATACACTCTCTGGGATTTAACTTAAACAGCTGTGAACATGATCATAGCTAAGGCAGGAAAGTCCTGTGTAACATGGCCAGGGCAGTGACCTCCATAAAAATGAAAGGAAAGTCATCCTTGGGAAAGTGTTGAGAGACCAGGACCTCCCAGGACCCTGAGGTAGAGCATCATGTAGGATGAAGGCTGCTTTGCATGTGAGAAAGGACAAAGGGTACAATTGCCACTGGGCCTGGAATTGGAGGGACACCCCCCCCAGCCCACTAACTCCAGGAGAACTGACAGGCTGAGGCTGCCCACCAACCAAGATGAAAATCCAGGCCTCTCTCATTCACATGGTCCCCTAGCAGTGTCCTGGGCCCAGTTCCCACAAAACTGGGCCTTCAGCTGGGGGCCATGTTGCTTTAATTTCATGCTCCATCAAAAGAGCAAGATGACTGTTGAGTTATGATATCTGAGCCTGAGCCAGGAATTCACCCTTGCACTTATGCAGGCAGTGACAGGCAGCCCCGGTAGAAACGGGTTCCTTTGTTTCTGATCTACAGGGGAGCCTAGATTAATTCCCTTCTAATTTATAGATTGGCTTATTGATAGCATTGGAAAAGCCTGAAGCCTTTGGCTTATAATCATATATCATTACTTTATATCATTATCTAACTTGCCTGTATTTTTCACTTAAAAAAAAATCAAATTGGAAGACCTTTGATTACAGTGATTTTTATATTCACAGCCACATTTTTCTCACTAGATAATAAAACAAGTGAATTAACAGATGGAAAAACAATCAGAAACATGTAAGGTTTGCAGTGACTTCCTAGTGCGATCCACCACTGACTGCATAGGCACGCGGATCTCCAAGTCTGGTCCCACCCTGAGAATGTGTCAGAAATGGGGATTCTCCGGCTCCCTCCAGACCTACTGCGTCTGAACCAGGGTGGGGCTCAACTGTGTGGATGTCAACAAGCCGGTTGTAAATGTTGTCTAGACACTGAACGCAGCTCACTCTTACACTGCTGGGGAGTCTAGACTCGTCTAGCCTTTAGTCATGAGAGAAACCCATTAACATCCTTCCTCCTTTCCAGAGTTCTAAGACTGACACTGCCATGGGTCTTTGGAGCTGGCAGCTGTTCTGGCAGAGATGCTATCTGGGAAAGAAAACAAAAATGAAAAGGACTTTACGGCTTGGCATCCCCTTGGCATTTGCTGGCATCTTCCTTTGCTGAGTGGGAAAAAGAAGAAACCACGACATCCACAACAGCATGCCTGCACTTTTAAACGTCTTTCAGCATCAGATCGATCCTCCAATCATTTTGTATTTGGGCTCAGTGCAGCTGGGAGTGTTATTGTAGCTGTCACAGGTTTTATGGGTTTTTCTTTCCTTGCCCTGTGAAGCTGGAACCAATTGTTTCAGAGAGAGTAAATAAAAGGGCCCCGGATTTCCTGTTATTACAGATTGATTTTTTTTTGAGATGCTAGAATAATATGTGAATTTTTTTCTAGTAACATAATTAAATGCATGTGCAGCACTAGAGTATGGTTTACCTCATCGATTTGACAATGCTTCTAAATGACACAAGTCAAAGAAGAACCTCCCTGTCAGGTTCCCGCCCTTAACATCTTTTATTATTATTACAACATACTATTCAAAAAATGTCTGCTCTATGAGATGTCAAAATATGTAAGCTGATCACCCTCATGTATACGGCTTGTCTGCTATGACCTGATTCACTTTCAGATTTCAACAGAGTAGGGTGGCCTACAGGGCTTGAGGACAGCCATTGGCACAGGTAGCTAAAACCCAAGTTCTATCTTCAGGAACATGGACCATGACCTCTAAAGGCCTGCTCTTCATCCAGGATGCAAGACAGTGAAAGGTGAGCATGTACATGTTTCTAGGTGGTTAACTTCACGTGTCAGCCTGGCTAGATTCTGGCATCCAGCTGTGTGGATGGATGGATGCCTGGCTAGATGCTGATAGACGATTTTGAAGATTAACATCCAAACCTATAGACCATGAGCAAAGTAGATTATCTTTAACAACGAAGCCAGGTCCCAAATAATCAGTAAAGACCTGTTATTCCACTACAGAGGGCATCCAGCCCCAGACTGAAGCATACAAGACATACATCAATCTTGCCTTCATATGCAAGATTGCAATGGCTGCCTCCACTTACATATCCAGTTTGGGGTATGGATTTCAGGTTTTCCAGCTCTGAAATATTATGAGTCAATAATGGGACCCCTCTCCCCACCTTCTTCTCTCCCTTTAGAGCAGTGGTTCTCAACCTTCCTAGTGCTGTGACCCTTTCATACAGTTCTTTATGTTGTGGTGACCCCAGGTCATAAAATTCTTTTCATTGCTACTTCTTAAGTGTAATTTTTCTGCTGTTGTGAATTGTAATGTAAATATCTGTGTTTTCAGATGGTCTTAGTCAACCCCTGTGGAAGGGTCATTTAACCCCAAGAGGTCATGACTCACAGGTTGAGAACTAGATATACAGTCAGCCCCCCACATCTACAGGTACCAAATTGGAGGGTTCAACAAGCTATAGATCAAAAATATTTTTAAATTGCATCTCTATTGACTTTTACAGGAGATTTTCTTTTCATTATTCCCTTAATAATGTAATTAGACAACTGTTTACATAGCATTTATGAGACATGTCAAAATACTAAAGAATACAATATGACAATTGTTTACACTGAATTTATGAGACATTTTAAATACTAAACACTGTAGTCGGCAAGTGTTTACATAGCATTTACATTGTAGTGGGTGTTACATGGAGCCTAAAGATGATTTAAAGCATACACGCATGGGTTATATGCACATAATGTACCATATTATGTAAGAAATTTGAGCTTTTTTCAGATTTGAGTATCAACAGAGATCTGGAAACCAATTATCCCCAAGGATACAGAGGGATAACTGTACTCTTTTGGTCCTAATTCACTGAGAATCCTGGACCAATGTAGCCCTAAACTTCTGAGTCAAAGTCTCCATAACATTTATGCTATTCTTTAATTCTCACCATTCCATTTGAAATAAAATAGTTCAAACTGCAGAGACTGAAAACAAATCAACGAGCTTCTAAGGATTATTTTAAATCTCAGTGCTGTAAGCACGAGTAGAGTATGTTGCTGTCATCAGGCCAAGTCAGAATGCTGACACATGTGCCTGGCATCTTACACGACTTCACCCACACTCCATTATCTCATTTACTAGTACATGCAACTCACCTATTTCCTCCCTCATTTTACTCCCATTTCATCAGGCTATTCTAAAGGACAGGGAATGTTTAAATTATATAAAACATACTCATGCACATTATCTAACTTCTAAACCCTTTTTAACTTACTTTTTTTAGTTGTCTTACAAAGTAGTAGGTTTATTGCTGTTCCAAAAAGCCATGGCCTACTTAACAAAAATCTCAGTAATAGATGTAGGCTACTTCCTTAAGAGTTGTTGGTCAACGGTGTGACAAGACACACCTATGGGTACTATAGTGGCATGAATGTTAAGAAGGTGACCAATTGCTTTCTAATCTGATTTGAGGCCTGCTCCCTAGGAGAAAGCACATGCCTGGTACTATACATCTAACTGGGAACCCATGGTTGGGGAGTACATCTCAATGATGAACTCTTGTTCTGATGAATGCGCATAGCATCAGATTGCTTGCTTAATTTATATCCCTCTAGTCATAGATTAGTGTAGCCCTCAGGACTCGGAGAATTTTCTCTGTGCAGTGGACAGTGTGAAGGTTCACACCTGGCCAAAGTGCAAAAGAGTAAGTGTTAGTGGAGTGGTCAGCAATTAATAAGACATCCATATCACACTCACACTCACCAGCCGAGGGGCCATTTCAGAAGACTGGGCTGAAAGATTGCAAGAGCCAGACCAGAGTAAATTGGGGTCTGGTGGGCACAACATGGCTGCTGTAGTCGTGACCTCATAATTGCCTGCACAAGAACAAGCAAAAGACCTCAACGCTCATCTCCACCGTGACGCACTTCCTCCTTCCACTGTACCGAGTCCAACAAAGCCACACCTCCCAATAGTGCCAGTCCTCTTGGGGACCATTTTCTCTCAAACCACCACACCAGGGATAAGCCCCCTATTGCTCGTCTAATACCAAGTGATTAGTCCTGAAATTGTACACATACAAGGAACACTAAGCAGGTTCAACAGGTTGTGTTTATATTCATGCATTATGTGTGCATATAGATGTAACAAAATGAAGAAAAAGAGGCCATGAATTTGAGAGGGAGTGAATAGGGGGACATGGGAGGGCTTAGAAGTGGCGGCTATAGGAGGAGTGGAGGGAGGAAAGAGGGGGGAACGATGTAATTATACTGTATTTTTTTTTTAATTTAAAAAAATGGAAAAAAAGAAAGGCAAACAAAAGTTAAAAATAAAATTTGTGTCATTAAAAAAAAAAAAAGAAGAAGGTTGCTGGAGATATGGCTCCACAGTTGTGAGCACTGACTGCAGCTCTTGTAAAGGACCCAAGTTTGGTTCCCAGCACCCAAATCAGGCTACTCACAACTGCCTGCAACTCCAGCTCCAGGGGGGTCCGACCACCCCGCCCCCCTTTTGGACTTTTGGACTCGGCTGGCACCTGCCTTCACACGTGCACATTCCACAAAGACACACACACACATATGCACATAATCCAAGATAAATAATTATTTTTTAAAGACCCTATTGCTGAAGAGAGCACATACATTCGTTGCAAGATACGGAAAACTCTGAGCTGGAGCCAGGCAAACTGGAAGCTTCCCTTCAGCTGGCTAGCTTTCATGGTCCCAGAGGTGCTATGCAGGCTGCCAGGGGAGAAAAGGCGTCAGTGGTCTTAGCCAGCAGTGAACCCTATGAACTACAACACCAAGCTGCCAGTCAATGTGCCTGCTGGTGCAGTACTGGCACTACTGTTAGGGAAGTCACCAGTGGATTTGAGGTCTGCTCCACAGAACAGATTTCATGCCTAATACCGCAAACTTAATAAAATAAAAATCCATGGCTGAGGGGGCTTATACTCTAGGGGGATCTTCTTGTTTAGCTTCCTAATTATTTATGTTCATACCCACAGACAAATGTTACTCTCAGACTTATTCAGAGAAGCTTCTTTTAGCCATGAACAGTCGAGAATGCAGAGACTCAGGGAGGGTCAAGGTGTTAGGAATACGTGTCTGCTGAGTGCTCAGCCCTAAACAGGACATTTATACCATGCACTCCAGGGCTCAGGGAACATGGCAGAAAAGTACAAGGAAAGAATGTAAGAGCCAGGATAGAGGGGAAGGGCTTTCTTCTGGGCATGACAGAACCATTGCAATCCTGATCTCATGGGAACCACGGCTGCCACACTGGCTCTGCATAAGACTATTAATATTAATATTAATCAGGGGTTGTGGAGGGGCTCAAAGGGCCCAACTCTTCCCTACTGAGCTGTGGGATCCTGGTGAATTCTGGGGAAGTCATTGTCTTCAGTTGTGTGCATATCAATGAGCCAACCAAGCTCTGTTGGCTAGCTCAAGTCTGTGGTCACACAGACACCCCAGTTAAATGCAGTGGGCCACAAGCCAAAACAAAAAAAGACATGAAGGTGAAAAAGGCCCTGTAGGGAGAAAAAAGGATGGCATGGCGGGGATGAGGGGAAGATAAGAGAGGGTTGGAGGTGTGAGAATACCAGAACACATTTGTGTGTGTGTGTGTGTGTGTGTGTGAAATTGTCAAAGGTTACTTTTACAATATACATTTAATAAGTATTATTATTTGTTTTATTTTTATTATTATTTGCTAAATGAATAATCAAAAAATCTTCAAAATAAATGCCACTCAAATGCTCTTTTGATCATTCATGAATACCCTTCTCCAAGTTCAATGTGCTTTATCTGTGCCTCTGGGCAGAAACGAAGCATCTGTTGAGATGCGGGAGGCCCTTCAGAGGCTAATAACTACCTTCAGAGTTTAATACTCCCCAATGATGCCAGCGTCATCAAGGCCATCAGGTCTCAGTTACGATGGATGGCTCTTTCAGGGAGTCTGGGGCCACTGTGGCTTGGAGCCTGATCCCAGGTGTGACAACACCATCAGAATTTATAGCAGAAGGAGTTACCCAGAGTCTCTACTTTGGAACAGCCAGGGCTTGAGCTGGAGCAAACTGAACTCTGACGCACACATTTTCAGTTACAACATAAACCATCTCATCGTTCAGTACTTCACACTTGCAAGAAGTAAACCTCCAGGGCTGTGTGTCAGGAAACACATCTGTATTTAAAACACCATAGTAGGACTTCCATCATTCAAACATCTTGTTGAGATTGGGTCAAAACCACTAACAGGCTTCACAAGCAGCCTTTGGAGAATTATTTCATCTCAACTTTATATATTGATCCCTCAAAAAAAAAAAATCTACCTTTAAGACTCTATGCACTATTTTTGAAGAAATAGTTAGTCCAAGTCCAATTTTACTTGTGTGAAATAAAACCGATAAGGATATCTGCTGAACCACAGCTTGGCAAAATGTCCAGCTCTGTTGCACAGGCCTTGTGGTTTCCATGTATTTCGCCCAATTGAAGAGCTTCTCTTTTATAACTCTAGAGAGATGACACTGTCTCCTGTGAAGTAATTAATGTGAGGTAATTAATATAGCCTGAAATAGGCTTATGTGTGTACCCCCCCCCCAAATTCACACACCGAAGTCATTTCCAGTATTCAATATATGACTTTACTTAGAAATGGGGCCGCTATAGACATGATTACCGGGGACAAGATCACACTGGAACAGGGTAGACTCTCTATGCAATGACTGCTATCTTTGTCAGAAGGGGGAACTAGGATGAGGACACACAGACAGACAGACAGACAGACAGACAGACACACACACACACACACACACACACACACACACACACACACCATGTTGAAGAAGAAAGCAGAAGTGGAGATAATGTTCTCACATACCAAGGAACCCCAGAGATAACTAGCAATCCTCCCTAAGCTAGAAAAGAGGCACAGGACAATGGCTCCCCTCCAGCCCTCAGAAAGAACTAACACTTACTTGGGCTTCCTCCCTCCCGAACTGCACGGTGACAAGCGACAGGTGTCTCTTACGTGAGCTGCCTACTTTGTTGCATTTTGTCATTGCCACTCCACCAAATTAATACATACTTATGCTTTCAAAACATGTAAAGGTGAAAGAGCAGACCGGGTCAAAGGAAACATTAAACTGTTGTTCATTAACCTGGCAGCCAGCAGCTGCCAGGGATGCAATTTTATAAAAGTAGACTTAGTGATATAGTCTTCAGAAATGTATGGTCACAACTTTTACAACATATTAGAAATTAACATCTCATATGGTACAATATGGTCATCACAAAGAATAGCAAGATTTCAGAGTATTGGGAAAAGGGAGGCTGGGTGATCCCCTTAGATTCTTGTTTAATGTGTGCTTTGAAGTTAGCCACACAATTCTCACTTCACTTAGGAACTCATGGTCTTTAACCAACACTTTGTCTTTCATGAAATCCTCACTTGCAAATAAGCTAGACATTATTATCTGGAAAACTGAACCAAATTCACTCCGTATCAGTCAAAATTCCCATGCCTGGAGTACTCAACCCGGAGCAAAAGCCCCCAGCTCACATAATGGCGCTCTGAAAGATTTGATAAATGCCCCAACAGTGTGGAGCCTCAATTTTCATCTCATGTGGGTAAATGCTCAAGAAAGGAAGTGCTGGGTCATATGACAAGTGGAGGGGGAAATGACAGTTATATTTAACCTAAAACAATACTTTTAAAAAGTTGGATATTCTGCAGCTTGTGTGTAGATAAGCACAGCCGCAGTGAATTCGTGAGTACAACAGCGATGTCAGATCCATAAGCCATCTTTTTGCCTTGTATTTCCCCATCCTTTGCACTTCTGCTCTCTCTGCTCCGTCTTCTACAGTCGTCCCTGAGCATGGAGGGGATGTCGTTGCTATCACAGTTGGGTGGGGCTGATCATTGATCATTCCACCATCCCTTATTCTTTGCACTTCAGACAGCTAAGGGTTCCTGCAGTAACCACTGTCCAATGCAGTAAGAAGCTTCCTGATGAAGGCTAGAGACAGCATTAATATCGTTGAGTATTTAGAAGGCAGTTTGACAAAACAGTAATAGTAGATTCCTCACTGGGGCCGTGGATCTCCCCAGCCAAAGGCTACTTGACCAGGTTTACAGAACCAGAAATGAGTTTTCCTTTGTTTTGCCTAAAATCCAATCAGAAGTAGTCAGTTACCCCCATAACAGTCATACCACTACTGTCCACATCTCGTCTGGCAAGTTGTCGTTGTGGTTCACAAGGTTCACAGCTCAGTAAAAGAGCTGTTGACTTTTTCCTAAAAGCCTGCATAGCACTTTCTAGGGCCATGAAGACTAGCAAGTATGAAGGAAGCTTCTAGCACAGCCCCATCCTGATTTCTCTGCATCCTGTGAGCAAAGTATGCAGTATCTTTAGCAAAAGCATCTTCCCATCAAGTTCCAGTGGGTCTACAAGACCACACCACTCCCAGGGGAAACCACGGGCTTTCAACGCTTGTTGGGGGAATGGGTGTTTCTTTCTTCAGTGGTGTGGCCACGGGTCAGTTGCTCTTGCTGCACTGGGTAACTGCACACTCATGCTCAAGCAAGTAACTAATTAACCTAAGTGGGCCCCACGAAAAGAAGACATGGAAGCAGAAGGGGGGCTTGTCAAGAAGGGTACCAATGGGAGAGAGAGGAAGATGAAGAATGAGAATGGGTCTGTGAGACGACAAAAATTCGCTATGTAAGCGAGTGAAGCTGCCAAATAGTTTTAAAATGGGAAAATAAAGAAGGAGTCTTCGTTTTAAAATGCTGACTGTAGCAGAGAAGCAGGGTTGTTCACTCCCCGCCCTCCTCCCAATCCAGCCTCCCAACCCCGCCCCCAGTTCTGGAGCAGAACACTTGCTGCGGCCTCCCCTCCCCTCTCTGTCCCCCTCACCCAGATCTTCTCCTCCAGCCTTCCACCTTACCCATCCCTGTGTCTCAGCCTCCAACGCCAGCAGGCATTCCCTGGGAACTTGCCTGCCATCCTTCCAGAGAAGCAAGTTGGCCAGCAAAGCAGGTAGACAAGCTTCTGATCTTTACTCCCCACCCCATCCCGTTCTTCAAACCAATCCCTTAGTCTCACCTCCATCTCTGCAGCAGAATATCTGCTGTGGCCACACCTCCCACTCTGCCCCCCCCCAACCCATAGATAAGCACATCTTCTCCTCCAACCTTCCTTCCCTACAACTCATCCCCTTACCCCAGCTACCATCTCCTGCAGGCATTTCCTGGGACTCTGTCGGCCACACAGGTCAGGGAAGAAGACAGACCAACTGCAGATCTTCATCACTTTCTCCTCTCTAAATCCAATCCCCTCAGCAAAGTACAGGATATAAAATCAACTCACAAAATTCAGCAGTAGCATTCCTATGTGCAAATGACAGATAGATCAAGGAGGAAATCAGAAAAACAACACCCTGAACAATAGCCTCAAAAATATACCTTAGGGTAACTAACCACACAAGTGAAAGACAGATATGATTTTAAAAGAACAACAACAACAAAAAAAAAACCCTTAAGACATTCAAGAAGATATCAGAAGATGAAAAGATTGCCGGGCGGTGGTGGCGCATGCCTTTAATCCCAGCACTCGAGAAGCAGAGGCAGGCGGATCTCTGTGAGTTTGAGGCCAGCCTGGGCTACAGAGTGAGTTCCTGGACAGGCTCCAAAGCTACACAGAGAAACCCTGTCTCAAAAAACAAAACAAAAAACAAAAAAAGAAAGA